TTATTAAATGACGATGACATACATTACCGATATACTAGGGTTATTTGTAAAATAGTAACAACCTTGCACAAGACTATATTACTAACATCATAAACAACAATTATTGTTCCGTATTTTTTTATACCAATACCAAGTGACGGGACGAACAAGTTGCGCGCCTGGTGTTAAGCGACACGCCCATAACAATTGCAGTGCCACTCAGTGCCTTTGATCACAAAGATCTGAGGGGCACTGCCACTCCGGGAGGCGTTGCTAAAAATACAGAACTAAAAAGTGTCAGATAGTACAACAAAAACTTAAACGTTCATTTTTGGTATTTTTTTATTTTATTTGTTATTTATGATGTTAGTAATATAGTCCTGCGAGGTTGTTATTAATTAACAAATGACCTTGTATATGTAAAAAGGTTTTAATTCCGTAATTAGCAATACTTTTTACACACGCGTATCGACACTGAAAACTTTAAACGTTCTAAAATTTATTATGTAAAACGGTACCATTTACTATTTTTCGTAACAGAATAAACAGCGAGACTCCAAAGAGCAAATAGCCATACAGACATCTGTAGTTTGTCTTCCTATTTTTATAGTATACGGTTCAATATGCCACAAATAAAACATGCGCTAATAAAAATAAACATTTATTCATGCATTACAAGAGAACATGCGAAACATTCATGCAAGATTGAACTCCTTGAGAGCAGATTGCATAATGGTATCTTTCACTGCGCAGAACACAAGCTTTATGTTCTCCGTGTCTTTAAAAATATCCAAGGCAGCATGCAAAATTAATAGAATAAATAAAATAACATGTAAAGGCGACAGAGAAACTACAGGCTTCGTAACACAGAAGTCAAAACGTCTTAAATGTAAGCTTGAAAGTCTGTCTGAACATCAGAGTTAAACGTTAAATCCTATTATTTTCGAGATACTTAAACTACAAGAAACTAATACACATGGGAGTTGATAATACTTCCTCTAAAGTCCCGAAATTATTGTACTATATATACAATACAGCTTTTTCTATATTTATTGAAGCGTAACTAGCAGCTATTTTAGTAGTGTAGTGTATTTAGAAGAAAACTTTTGTAATTGTAAGTAAAAATGTAGCAATTTTGTTGATTTTTGCCTTGTATATTTAATCATTCCGGGATATCAAAGGGAGGTATTAACCACTTTGTGTGTATTTTAGGTAAATATACTCAGCCGATACGGTATTTGGTGATGATTATAAGCGGCGTTAATCATTTCCATTAGTTAAGAATACCATAAAAACGTAACTATATATTTCTTGATTCCTTTGTTTTTATTTATTTTTGATTCTTGAAGGATTGTCAAGAACAACATTGCTAGAGTTCGCTTCGCTATCGTTTCTAAGACTTCTGTGCGATGAAACCTTGTCTCTGGTTTCTAAATGCCATTTGTTTCGTCTTATGCTTACGATGCAAAAGAAGAAAATGTGTGATAAGGAAAAAACCCATACTACGCAACAGTAAGCGCAACTCTAATGTGAGACAAAAGCCACGTGCTAAGTGTAGAGGTGTTTGTGTGACAATGACGCAACGCATTTGACCTCCATCTCAGCTAATGGAAAATGACGATGAGGTCGACGATGTAGCATACACACCTACACAATGCCTATTCTAATTATGTTTTTTTTTACAGTGTGTTCCTGACAGGGGAGTTCCCGAAAACTTGTACGTGCTCTACTTGTTCTTAATAAAATAATTCAATTCATACGAATCAAGTCAATTTCACAATGTGTAAGATTTAAAAAAAAAAATCACTTCGATCGTCAAATCGTTGTTCAGATCAACGAAACGTGGTCAGTTTTGAATACGGCGATTTACTCTCTCCAACCTTGTAAGTTTATACCAGGGCTTGAAAGAGGCGAATATGATAGACGAAATAGTGTCTTTCAAATTGGAACTCGAAATGCATGACGATAAAATAGAACTCACATTGTGTAACGAAAAAATGTCGTTACCCTTATAGAAAAAAAACATTGCAAATTCTATTGTATCGTCATGCTTTATTCGCACGTCCGTGTCTTGCCTCTTTCAGTATCTGACGTATACGCAGGCGCCTGCCACACAAATGCTACTTGCGTCTGACGCCAAATCTTCCCCAAAGCACTGAGGTGCCCCTAACAAACTCCCTGGTAAGAACGACAGGTGACCCTGGCAACTTATTTAGCCTTCTTCCTATTTCTAAGCACAGACCAAAGCAATAATGTACTTACTCTATCTAAGTATACGGAAACCAATCAAATCTACGAAAATATTCTACTTCTTAAAAAGAAACTCGAATATAAAAACATAATGATAAAGACACTCGCAACTTACCCTTATGCATGCAGTTGTAGACTCTGGTAACTTATATAAATACTTAATTTTAAGTTAATACTTTTTAAAGATATTAAGTGCAGTTATTTGGGTACTGTTAAAATCTAACTTGTCAACAGGTACAGCAAAATTGTAATAACCACAGTTTTGTCATTTATCATTCTCCTCCTTCATTATACGGAATGTAACAAAAGAGTTTATACCATTTTGGAATATTGATGACACTAACAAATTGTCCAAGAAATAAACATATAAACAAATTGAGTTTCTTCTATTGAAAATGTAATATTCTAAAACACGCTTGGAAATATTTGCATTACTCTATCTATGGAGCGTGAAACTCTTTGTCACAAAAGTGAATTGAATTTGTGTTGCAACAACCACTATAAATTGGATTAAAAATTAAATACTTCTAGCTATAATTATTCAGCGTCTTGCAACATTCCAATATCCTAAGGTAATATTAGACCCTTTATAATTACGCTGTAAGGAGAATACAATATGCTTTTCGAGAATAGTGGCCCAAATCAAAATAGTTCTTTTTTACTCATTACACACATGTATTCAAAATGTGGTAAATTTTATTGTGAAAGACACCTAGCTTTTTATTGGTTAAATCATTAGACTTTTAAACGATTTGTCGGTCAGTGCGCCACATATGCCTGTATTTTGCAAACCATCTTTCCGAACGCTTGCGCGTTTTAGTAATAATAGGTCGCTATTCTAGAAAACCATCAGTTCTTACCTGTCGCACAGGTGAAGTGGGAGTATATGATTTTCTCTGCGTCTGGGTTGAGGTCGACGAACATCCGCAGAATGAACTCGCGCGCCGTGATTGCGTCGCGCTGCGGACCTAAATAGACGCAATAAACGCTCACACACATAGCTTTGCTACAGGGTTACTTAGCTTTTACTTAGCATACGGGTTTCATACGCTATACGAATTATGGTTCAAGTGATTATAAAGGTAATATCGCATCTACGTGAAACACAGATGAAATTGCAGAAACGTGAGAAAATTACTTAACAATGACATTTATATACAAAAATAGAGAGAGAGAGAGAGAGAGACACATCATGATTTCCTTCTTTTTTCCATAAAAGACAATGTGCTTGATTTAGTATAACATTTAAGAGCTACATTTTAGTAGCAGTAGAGCTCCTTGTGAAAGAGTTGGTGAAATGACAGGCACCTGGGACTTGTCATATTTTATGTCCCAGAGTGACGGGCGCAGTGGCAGTGCCTCAGATCTTTGCGATTTAAAATGTGAAACACACTGTCGGGAGCACGGCGGGTGTAATTTCGTTCATATAAAAAAAGGAATTACATCCGCCATGCTTCCGACCCGACACGTGCCCGACCAGCACCCCTTTTCTGTGTTTCACGCTTGAAGCTCTGAATGGCACTGCAACTGTCACAATAGATATTAGCAATTTTCAACCCATTTCAAACGTGATAAAGATTACTTATTATTAATCACTTGATCCACAACATGTGTATGTTACAAATTGAACGTCCTATACTAGAGTAAAGAACAACAAATCTCTGGCGTTTTCGAAATTTCTAGCAAATTCTACAAAAGTTATATACGAGCTAAGTATACACATTATATTCAACCTGTGGCTGTGGTAAAGTGAGAATAGCACGACCGTTCCGGGTCGGGATTCTCTTTCAGATATTTCTGTAGTATGAAGTCAAGCGCTGGCGGCGCCTCGCATTTTGGACCTAAATATTGAACATTTCTATTTGTCTTAACACTTAATTATTTCATTTGTACGATAACACAAACGTACATAACATAAGTTATCACTAATGCCCCTTAATAGCAAAGATTGGAATACGCAGAGTACAAATTTTATTAACTCTGTGATAATATCTCACTCTGAAACCCCAGATTTATTACTGCATTTAGTTCTATATTTGATGTAGCCAATTACTTTTCTATGATAGCGTAAGTTTTGTAAGTAATAATAACTTTTAATCATACCGTGACTTCAGAGGAAGGTATTATCTTCTCTATGTGTATTACTTGAAAAGTTTAGGTAAATGTACACTGCCCAATCCGGTCTATATTTACTGGTCATAGCCATTGCATTCGAGACGTGAGCATTATTCCTTGAAATCTAAGGAACATCATTCTAAACCGCAGGGAGTCTTTCCCCACGTGTTAGAACTCTAATTTCATGTGATTTCCACAAACGTCACCCCAAGTTGATTAAGTGTGGCTGACCTGACGACCTTTGAAATGCCGGGACTGACTGGATTAGAAAAGCACAGGCATTCAGCAATCCGCATTGCGCATTATCGTGGTGATTTTGATAAATAGAATATTACAACGTCATCATCATCATCATCATCATATCAGCCGGAAGACGTACATAGCCGAATATAGGCCTCCCCCAAAGATTTCCAGACTAGCCGATCGGACACGACGTGCATCCATCGGTTACTCGCCGCACTTACAAGGTCATCCGTCCATCTAGTAGGGGGCCGTCCCACTGAACGCCTTCCGGTTCGCGATCTCCGTTCGAGAACCTTTCTACCCCAACGGCCGTCAGTTCTACGACTTATGTGCCGTGCCCACTGCCACTTCCACTTGCTAATCCTTTGAGCTATGTACCGACGAACTTTCGTTCTTCTATGGATCTCCTAATTTTTTATTTGATCACCTAGAGAAATGCCGAGCATTGCTCGCTCCATAGCTCGTTGAGTGACTTCGAGCTTTTTTATGAGGCCCATCGTAAGTAACCACGTCTCAGAGCCTTAGGTCATCACTGGCAACACGCACTGCTCGAAGACTTGTCTTGTCATCAAGAACTGCGGTATTGCGGACGAGATGTCCCGGAGCTTCACGAAAGCTGCCCCAACCGAGTCGGATCCAAAGACTTACCTAATGTTGTAGGGGTGGGTACGACATAGACTAAAATGTGTGGTTTTTAAAATAAAATGGAAAATTTAAGGGCATATAAAATCTTCGAAGAATATTGTATATATTGTATACAAATCATTCAGTGAAATCATTAAAGCCACAGGAAGTGTACGACATTGTAGAGAGACCTTGTCTCGGGAAGTACATGTAGTGGTCTAGTCCAGAGACTGATTATCCCGACAGTGGTTAAGCTTAATACGAAATCATCACGAAGCGATATCAAAAATTCGAACGTTACGACAGAGCAGTTCATATTACCTTCATACTATTTATTTGTACATAAAAAAACGTACCGTCGTATTCAGGGAAGTAGTCGACGAGATGCGAGTACATGATCTTTTCTTCGAGCAAGTCCTTCTTGTTGAGGAAGAGAATCACGGACGAATGCTGGAACCATGGGTACGTGATGATCGTCTTGAACAACGCCTTCGACTCTTCCATTCGGTTCTGGAATTTATATAAAACACATTGTCTTTCATCATATAATACTAAATAAAATCGATACAAATTACTCTGCTACTTCGCGAATCTTGTGAAAGTGTTGGTGGTGTCTGTGATTGTAGTTCTACAAGAAAAAAAACCAATTGAGTACTACAGTTATTAAATATAAAAATATTAGACTGATAATACGTCTCATGTTAATATTAACAGTTTTTCTTCAATAGATTATAACACTATCGCACGTTCAACACGACACTCTAGCCATAGTATAATAAGACAAGTATGGTAACTCCATACAAACGTAACAGCGCGATTTGGATGTGTCCGCGCCCACCGCACATCATCTATGGACGTACACATTCGCTTAATCTCGCGATGCACCTGTGTTGCATTATACTAGTCGTCCCAATGCGCCTTTCATTATTATGCGAATGTTTGCATTCGTACAATGCACGCGGCCGTCGCGCACACATACGAGTCGCAATGTTACTTTGTACGGAGTTACCATACTTCTCTTATTTTATTATGCTCTCGCTTTTTCAAATGTAGACTTAATTTCAGAAACTACAGTGACCATTTCCCAAGTTCACATTTTCGTTTACTGACGGTAGCGATTTCAATATATCACATCGCCAGCTATGTTTGAAAACCTCGCAACTGCAATTTTCTACGAAATCCCCTTTTTTACTCTTCAAGCGCTATATCGGAAACTTATAGGTCAATTATACAATAATAATATTAAAAATGTCATTTCTAGACCCTTTTTACTTTAAAGGTATAATCCTTGATTATCATTAATTATTTCGAGAAAAAAGAAACATCTTACGCCCGTTTTAATCTGTCGAAGTGCATGTGAGTGTATGTATAATATACCTTCAATATTTGGCCGGACACAGTGAAACTATGCTTATTTTGTATATGTCAACTTCTATACAACGTGTGTTTCACAAATAAATGGATTAAGAATTAGTAATTCTGTTTTCGTGCCTACCTAAAAGTTCACATTGATGAAGTACGAGGTACGAGGTTTACGAATTTAGCCAACGACATGTAAACAAGAATAGATTGCTTTATTCCTTACCTCGTTTTCTGATTCGAATAAAATTTGATCATATTCACTAAGAGCTACTAAGAATATGATAGATGTGACATTTTCAAAACAGTGGATCCACTTCCTTCGCTCGGATCTTTGGCCCCCGACGTCCACCATCCTGTTAAGGTTTCAATTCATATTAATTAATTGAATATCAAATATTTAAAAAATATATCGTACCTTTCTTCACTAAGTTTCGAATCTGATGTAACCGAGTAAGACATACGACAGTTACTCAGCTATAAAAAGCGAACATTCTACACTAATCGTCGTATGTAACTCATCCAAAGAACGAGTTTCACATACAAACGAAAGTTAGTAAAGAGAGGATCGGGACAATTTACTTTATTTCACATTAAAGAGGAAAGAGGTAAGCAAAGGATTAAATACAATTTAAAACTTAAAATTGGTTACTAAAATCTTTAGCTGTGCAAAAGGGAAGAATAAACAAAAGTGGGCAAAATAGTCAATAATCAATATACTTGTTTAAAAAAATTTAAACGTCGGTGTAAATGTAAAACTCACTGAGAACCCAAATCGACTGAAAGGGATAATTAAGTTTTGTGTTTTACTTGCAAAGGGATTATAATATTATTATGTCTACAGACTTTTCGAAATGCAGTTTTATAATGAAGGACACCTAAAAATGTTTGTTGTAGAAAATGTTTTTCCCAGTGAACCAAAAATAGAAAAAAACTTTTGATCACAAATTGGGAATTAGTGAGTTTTACAGTTTAACGGACGCTATGTTAATACAAATATAGTTAGGAATGCATGCGATTGAGATATTAGAAGCTTCCCCGTTTGTTCGCTTCGAACACGTTAATCTACAAAACATTTAAACGGATGAGTATCGAATCAAGCATTAAGAAAACAGCCAACATTCAAACATCGCAATGATTAAAATACCAATTTATAAAGCGTTACAATGCGTAAGCAAATTAGACAACATTTAGTAACAAAATTTCGATCTGGCGTTCGTACCAACACGAGCGTACCGGATGTTAAAAGTTACTTTTCACTCCGTTTCGCGTTCAAAATCTAGCCAATTCACCAATAGTTCTTCACACCCAGGGATAGAGGATATGGTTCTAGCTTTGCCACTTCACGCGCAGGGCCAGAAACGTACCTAAATATAATCCCATCGAGATCGAAAGGATACTCAAGAATGCCAGTGGTAGGCTGTCGGGCGCGCAGAATATCCTGCTCCGTGGGCAAGTAGTCAGCACTTTCGATTCGTTCCAGATCGCTTAAATAGCTGAAATCCATTTCATGCAATACTACTAAGCCCGATTTAACATACATGCAGACCATCAAGAGTTTACTGCTCCTCTGTACACACAATGGGTTATCTATCAGTAGTCCGAAATGACATTTTCCAGAAATAAGGTTCGGTCGAAATTTCATAACCTCGAAAGTAATTTTGAGAGGAAAATGTTTTTTCTTTTAAACCTAACTTAACTTAACCTAATCGAACCTAATCGTGTCTTTGCAATAAACAAACAACATATCTGAAAGAACAACTGTTTCGTTATAATTCGGTTTCCGGTGTAATGAAAATTCGAACAAACGTTATTTCGGACAACAAATTTTCGACTTTGTGATAGGTTACCCACACAATGAACTCTTAACCTTATTGCAAGCTCCTGAGGCACACGTAACAAGCGTACACCTTTGATATTGGATGATTCGTTACCTATAGAGCGTCGTTAGCTTTCTATCGGTACCGAGAAGACGGAGTATCTTTGAATTAACGTCTTCAACGAATTCGAAGTAATGCTCAATGATGGTCGTGGTTTTTTGTCTGGCGCGTAGAATATCTTGCAGAGTGGGCAGGTAGCCGCGCTCCGAGATCCGGTCAATATCATCTAAATAACTGAAAATCATTCCACGCTGTTCTAGAAGGCCGTAGACAGCGAGCAAAGTATTAAGAGTTCACTGATTTGTCTGTCACAGTTTACTCTCAATAACATTAAGTATACAAAAGCAGCTTCCCATGCGTAATACACGAGAGAAGCATAAGTAGCCGGTCGCTAACATTGTACATTTACCTATATCGTATATATTTCTCAGTATATCCTACGAGATATTCGTTGAAGTAATACTCAAGGATACCCGTGGTTGGTCTCCGGGCACGCAGAATATCCTGCACGCTGGGGAGGTAGTATGGATTGGCGATTCTTTCCAGATCGTTCAAATAACTGAAATACATTTCATGCACAACTACTAACTAAACCCGCTAATACCATGCACAATAAAATCGCAAATGAAAATGGAGAATTTGCAGTGCTGTTGCCAATAATTTGGACACTAAACGGCACGGTAAATTCTTTCAACAGACACCAGACAAAGAAGATATAGAAAACAAGACCGAAAGTATCCCATGCACCTAGAAGAGAAGCGGACAGGACCCACATATGTTGCAGCTTTACCTAAATCGGATCTCCTCCAAGTCAAATGGGTATTCTATAATGCCCGTGGTGGGCACTCTCACGCGGAGGATGTCTTGTTCGGTAGGTAAGTAATTTGGTGCCGCCACGCGGTCTATCTCCTGCAAGTAGCTGGAGAAAATAGTTTTCTCAAATTCCGAAATATAAACACAAGAAAATAGGCGAAATATGACTTACTGTCACAAGTTCCTAAGTTTAGCCACATATACAAACTGCGAAGGTTTTTACTGTAAGTTTGAACGCTATGCAAAAGATGTATAGTCTATTTATTTTTTTTGAAAACGCGAGTAAAATGACAATTATTCATGTAGTAGTTGTCGACAATTTTATCGATAGATTGTGATAGTAGGTAAAAGTCTGTCAAAAGTGATTGAATTCTGAATGTTATGACGTTCCAATGATTACTTATTTTATTACTTACTTATATACTTATTTATTGTATTCTTTAGTCTTATTTTGACAATTGGTCTATAAGTATCTAAATAAATGTTTAGTCATACACATTTAAATAACGACAGGCGGATTTGATTATGTACTCCTATTTATATTTCTAATACACATATTTCTATTTAGTATATGTATGAATGAACTTTCAGAAATCAACCATTCAAATGCACCTGTGGCCAGCAGTTGCAGGTATAATGGGCCGATGATGGATCAAATGAAATAATTTCGCCTATTTATTTCATAAATCTAATCAACGATAAGTTGATATTATATTTATCGACTGCTTGGAAGCGGGCAACACTATTGCGAAATGAACTGTAATTTTAAAACAGTCTTCAAAAAAAGGGACTATAAGATAACATTAACAAACATTTGACAGTTTGTATATCTCTGTGGCCCACCAAACAACGATAAGTCAGGCTTGCATACGAAATCTAGTTAACAAATAAATCGTCCGTATCACATGTCACTGAAGCAAGATTACGATTACTTTCGCAATAGCTACTTTAAATGTTGATGAAAAGTAGTCCATATCACCAGTCGGTAACTTTTTAGATGATATTGCCTTCGTTGCTTCACGAAATACCCTAGAGAAAAATATGCTAAGTTATTGTATAGCTTAGGCACTTAGAATATTGAGTTTAATCATACTTTTGGTTTATGATCTGGTGTAACATGATGCCTAAGAATAATAATAATAGCAATAAAGCGAAATAAATCATATCAATTTACTCTCAAATTAGGGAATTCCTTTTGTCATGAGTACTAGAGAAACGAAATTAGAAAACCTCATTCGCCTAATTGGTTCTCCCGGGAATTGAACCCGCAACCTCAACGCAGTGCTTACCGCTGAACCAACGAAGTCATCATAAAGGATTGTAGGAAGAGTATATAAAAGTCATGTAAATTATATATTACGAATTATGTTATAAATTTATAATAAAAGTATGTAAACAAAGCTATGTCTCATACATTCTTAGAATGATTGTTCTAAAACAACTGATATAGTTATATTTCCTTATTGTACCATAATACTTGTAATTGCAGCTATTGCAGTATATTTAAAACATACACTTAATGTTACAGTGACGATATGAAATTACGATTTGTAATTAAAGATATCGAAGGTTTTCGAGTAATAGTGACCTATTTCAACAACACCTAATTCATTAGGAAGATGGTTTTAAAAAGCTAAGACGATACGACGTTGGTTTGTGATTATTATTGAATAATCACAAACCAACGGAAAACAAATGGAGAGCTCGATATCCGATTCACAATTAAATTTACTACATTGCAACCGTGTTCCAATTAAATTTGAACTATTTTGGTTTTTGCAACTATTCCTGGAAATCAACGATATGTTTCCTAACATGGTACGACTATTTATTCTTCGTCTGACAATCGTCGTGTTCGTTCCTTTAGAGAACTATCAAAGTTTGAAATCTAAATTTTATATTATTTCTACCTGTTGCGCCATAACGCAACGATATAAAAGTGTAGTGTCCGTGGACACTACACTTTCATATCCCAATATATTGGATATTAAACATTTTTTTTTAATCGCGTATATTTGTTTTTTTAAACAAACCAACGTTTCGGGCCCGTTACAGGTCGCAGTCAGCCGAGACCATGGGACTTGTAAAGAACCTGAAATATTGGTTTGTTTTGTTGTATTGGTTTGTTGAAATAAAAACGAATATACAATATTTGAATCTGAAAAAAAATTGTTTCTATGCGAATATGAAGCAATTGTGGAAACCTAAAAAAATTATATATAATTATAGATTTTAAAAAGATATGACAGGATTTTGGTTTTTACAGATTCTTATTTCTTATAAGTTTTTTACAGGTCTCTTGATCACGCGAACATTTTGTGAGTAATATCAAAATAATCTGAGCGAATAAAAAAATACATACATTCACTTAATCAATAGTAACTTTTAAGTTATGAGGGTTCAAAATATCGATATAAATGAACTTTATCTATTTGAATTTAAGTTTTATTTATTAAAACTGGAATTCACTTCAGAGCAATTGAACATTGCACCTGGAAATTCATTGAGATAAGGTTGATTTTTATCAAAAAAGGTGAAGATATTTTATACAATGTACGAACGAACGAACGTGTAGATAAAATTTACTTATGGTGGTCTTACTTTTATAGCACGTATCATTTTAATGCTTACTTTATACAAGTACTCGTATTTGGTAAATTGTATGCCATAGAGTTATTTAGATTAACTGACCATTTAAATCAATGATTTTTAAACCGTATAACTCTTCATTCTGACCTATCTGACCTACAATTAGGATTAAATATATTGAGACATGTGTATAGGGCCGAGAGTTGGTTGAAGCAATAATTAATTATTATTTTTACTGATAATAATGATCCGATAAACTTGCTCTGTTCTAAACATATAGCAAGTTCTTTCTTTACTCGCTGTTGCCTATAATTTTACAGACTAACTAGAATATATTGAACCCGCTGAAAAATAATATAAAACTAGAGCTAAAAAGTCCTGAAATGATCTCTGGAAGAAAAAAAAATTATATTCTAGAAGTAATACATGTTATTTGATGTAAAAACTATCACACAACACAAGGGTTTCCGTAAACAGAAGGTGGTCAGGTGTTCCTTGTTTGCTTTACTCATTATTTGCGATGTATTGCGTCTGTTGGCGTTTCAATCGCAAAACAAATGTGATTTAGCAAATTCGTTTTCGCGTTCGCTACACGTGACTTGAACGCGTTAACCTCTGCTGTTAGCGAAATCGCTTATATGTATGCATATGCACACAGTAACTCACCAATGGAGAGAAAATTTAAGTAAAAGTATGCATTACAGAAAGTAATCATTTAAAAAAATAAAACACCACGCGAACGCTGCTTGAAACGTCGGACAATAGGCGTTATGATGGAAGAAATATATACCGGGTTATTTGTAAAATACTAACAACCGTGCAGGACTGTATTACTTGTATTAATAACATCATAAACAACAGCTTTTGTTTCACTAGTTTCAATAATTTGTGAGATTTAACTTTCGTACAAAATAAAAATATTTAAATAGATCGCTCTAAACGGTGATAACTTTGTGCAGGAACAAAAGAAAACGCTAGTGACATTAGCAGTCCGATGCAAAACCCAGGAGCGGGGGTGGGGGTCGTCAAGTATCCTACTACCAAATATAAATCTAAAAAGTGTCAGATCGTGCAACAAAAACTTGATAGTTGATAAAAAGTAATATAACAAAAGTTGTTGTTTATGTTAGTAATACATTACATTTCTGCAAGGTTGTTAGTATTTTACAAACAACCCTGTATATTATAACCTTAGGTTGCATTTTCTTTGCATCACCTAATTTTTAATTCTAAGGTTGCTTGGTAGCTACTTAGGACTAAATGACATTACCATTACGTGTTGAATTAATTAGTAATTTGAATGTGCAATAAATAACAGTTGATTCGTTTAAAGGAAGTATACCACTCTGTGTGTTGCCTACTGTTAATACTTAAACAAAGACAATCAGGCGCAAGCGTGTCTTCTTCCTATCGTCTAACAGGAGCCAACGTGAGTTCCAAGAATTATTATTCATTATGTCAAACTCTATATATATTGGTGTGATATTCAGACATTGAAATACAGCGAATGAGTTTCTAAATAAGGAGGATACGTAATCGCATTAAGTTGCGTTTCGCGTTGGCGGTCTGAGTAACGTCTTCGCTCTTATTGCATGACCAAAAAGCTTTTCACCGGGCCTAGCCGATTCTGCAATAATAATTGTGTTGACATTGCCCTCTGAATGCCAGGCTGGCTCCTGATATGGACTATATCAAACTGATGCGAATTCTGTCGAGTTCTTTAGCTATCAAACATAGGGCGTCTTCAAATTATACGTTTATAAAAGCGCTACAGCCACGCCACTACTAAGTTTCATACAATATTTAGAAGCGCAGTTGCAGCGCCACTGTCGGTTTGTTTAGAGTCAACGGCTTAGCGGTGGCAACCGTTAGTTGTACAATGCACAACGGGAATTGAGCGTGCCAACTGCTCTGGTACCTATCTGCAAAATAGGGAAGGTACTGTACGTGCACCCGGAGTGGCTGACGCGAGGTACTAGCCTCTTGAGAACCGGATTAAGTCAGTGACAACAGTCTATGACAACCATGTACACTGACTGATCCGGGGTCTGAACCTGAACTTAGAAGGTTCCTGTGCACGCACAGGTTATAGTACCCTATAACCGTATACCCTAACTGCCTCCGTGGCCGAATAGTTACCATGCCAGACTGCCACGCAGAGGTCCTGGGTTCGATTCCCAGGCCGGGACAAGTATGTGTATGGCCTACATTTATTTCTCTCGTGAGTCTGGGTGTCATTTATGGTTGTCTATGTGTGTGTCCACGGCACCCGCGACACAGGGTTTCCCTAGTGCGGGGCTATGTTGAGTGTGTGCGTTATTATTATTTTATTACTATTACCCTAAGTGTCAGTAGGGAAGGTCACTATAATCAAAACTTATGTTGAAAAGAAGGGGATGTCTGTTTGTTTGCAGTCACAATGAGTGAACTAAAAATTACTGAAGCGCTACAGACGCGCGGCTACCGTGCTACAGTCGTGTCACTGCAGCGCTTCTATGTCTAATTTGAAGGCACCCATATCACGGGTATACACCTACATAATTTAGGCATACTGAATTTGCATAGTGTGTCACCGACAACTCGCATCATGATCACTACTTTGCACGCGACTGACGTGATCGAGTGCTATTTCATGTCCGAACTAGTGTAGACATTATGGACGATTTGTTTTGAATACCGCGTGACTTTGGAAGTCCTTCATAGGAAGTAGTTCACTAAATCAGCACGGATCATTTCGACGTTTTATTCAACATTGAAGAATCGAGAACGTCATTGGAAAATACGAGATTAAAATTTAAGAAATCATTAGTTACTTGAGCGCAATTTTAATATCGAAAAACTTACTATTTGGCTGAGTCGGTAAGCTGGTACTCCCGCCTGCGATCGTAGCACTCCTGTATGCCGGAGTCGCTCCATAGCCCCTTGATCGCCTCTACGTACGGGCTCTCGAATGTTGTCACACTTTCAAAGTCGATCGAGGATATCAACTCCGCCTTTTCCTGGAATTCACGTTATTAACATATTAATACGACAACATAGTCAAAGAAGTATAATATTGAATATAGTTGACTCAAAGTGTTCACACTGAGAGGTGCAATATTTTATAGAAGATACTATCGACCATTTTCATAAAGTATCCCACAGGTCTTAAATTTACGCCTTTATGAAATCGGTTACTGTGTTGTCAAAAAGATCTTTTCATGCAATAAGTAACTAAATAACTCTTAAAATAAAGGACCCACGAGTGTGATTGTAAGCAACTAAGAAATTAAGAATAAAGTACAAAATAAGATACTTTTACGATCTTGCAACGCTAGCACGACAAGGTACGACTTGCGCGAGAAGCGACATAGAAGCGCGAGATTTCGCTATTCTCGATATACTCAAGTGACGAATCGCGAGTTGTCTCTACAGGCGCGGATATAACCATCACGCACACTTATGCTGTAGTAACGCCGTAGTCCGTAAAGAACACCAAAGTTTCTCGCGAGTTTTGTCTTAAGAAGACTGGTGAACTGTACTACCTGCTCGACTACCTACTGATCTCTTTAACTTCTTTTAAAAAGATGGAAACACCATGAACACTATTAAAATATAAATACTTGACAATTTATGTCAATTAAACTTTTACTCAAATTTAAAAGCACCTGGATAGCTCAATAATGTAACGGTGTCAAAACACAAGTTATCTAAATATAGAAGTCTAACTAATCCTAGAACAATTATAATTTAAGAATACTGTATAAATTTATTCAACATCATACAGGTCAAAAACTAGAATTCTCGAGCAGTGCACCATTGTTCTAGCGTACAGTAAACATATACACGGTTGTTCCGCCTCCAAAGGACTGAACAATTCAACGTGAGTAGCGCGTATCAACGGCGAGTTACAAGGGAATTTTCGAACGAAATTTTAAATGTTATTAATTTTGAAAATGCACATGAAGTGGCAAAAACTTCGATTTTTTGTTATAAGCACGTCAATTAGCATTACCAAAATTACCTAACACAAGACGATACACAGAATATATCAAAAGCTGGCGATTGTACTCATTAAAACATTCGACTTTAACAAAACAAAAAATTGTACGATGAACCAAGTTTTTTACACGAACACAAAATTGTTTCTTGTCTTTATTTTATTACCTATTCTATTATCAGTACGATCACCAGCTGAAATATAGTACGACGTTTTTGTAACATTTTTGTATTCGATTGTAAGGTCATTCTCAATATCAGATTATCAATAAGAAAATCTTGAAGCGTATGGACAATACAACTGTGCAGCAACTTCTGCACCTAGGTGCTCTGAGTCACTCAAATGAATCACAAAGATGGTAAATTAATTAATATTAGCTTTTATTTGGTGTAGAAATAACCATGGCCATTGTGTTTGAAGTGAAGGTCATATATTAACACAATTTTTCCTGTATGGTATTTAACAAGATTGATTTTATAATACTACAATACGTATTTGAATTGTTTTAAATATGAGGTCCTAATTTATTACTTGACACCGTTTTAAGGTCTTAATCAGTGTATGAGATCAAACTTTTACAATGGGGAACTTTTTGAAATTCCAAAAAAAATACAGCTGTTTCATTTTTAGGGTCGAGTAGGTATGAACTTTTTACAATGGAACATCTGAGTTTCTTCTTCAAAGGGTTTCCCATAGTAAAAGAAATTCCGTTTCATATTTTGAACTCAAAACTCAAAATGCCAGCTAATAAATTAGGTCGTTGTATATACAAAAATTTAATGAAATTTACAACGATTCCAAAACCAATACGGCTTAAGTTTATTTTTAATCTAAATAAACTTCGGAATTCGAAAAAAAGCAAAAATACGTGATTATTTCTACAAATATGTATATTTCCCGGCCTATATGTACGAAGTAAACTTATACACATATAATGATTCCCATAAAATAATGAGCACTTAACTCAGGGAAAAACCTACATCATACTTTTGTATATGAGTCATCGGTAATAAATTGGCATGCACATTGTAACTAATATTATTGGCGAAACTTAACTAATATGTTCTCTATATTTTTCATCTTTTAAACTTACTATCTTCGTACTGTGACGATCATAGTTTGGTTACCATAAACGGAGGTCTGACAAATAAATCAATTAAAACAAATTAAATAAAAAATATAATTTAAGTTATTTTAATTCTTTTTCTTTAAAATGAATTGAATTAAGTGAAACACAAACTCGTACATTACAAAAATTCCCTCGCCCGGAACACTTCCGCGGCCGCCTCTGTGTGGCCAGAGCATTAGAGTTTCTTACTCATTCTCTGCAGTAGTAGTCTAATCAATTTGATGATTTCAATTTTTTACTATTTCATAATAAACAAACTACTACTTACTGATTCGTTTAGCTTGTACTAACCTAAGCACATAATGGGGTCATTCATTTCCTTTACTAAAATCTACGTGCATTGCACACCGTTTTTTATCCATAACCACACTGGGATCGGACTATGTAATTTTACCCACATGACATGTTTCCGATGACAACTTACGTCACATTCAAATGAAGAAAGATAAAATCACCAATTTATCTGTGATAATGAATGACGTCGCTGGTGTCAATGCATTGTTGCAAGTAATTGATAACTCATTTGACGTGTACAAAGTTAGCTCCTTTTGTTGCCACATAAATGGTCTATAAATGGTATATTGCTGGTATTAAAAAGTACACTTACTACATTGGACGGATTCCCGTATTGTATTTTGAGTAGATCCATAGCGCGTATCATACTCTGCATCGCCATAAAGATGTTCTGGTAGACGAGCTTGATGAAACCGCGCTTGTCATCGTCGCTGTAACCCGACCCGTGGATGATTCGCATTTGCTTGATAAATGTCGATTTTCCCGACTCGCCAGTGCCTGTAAACAAACGAATGTTTTTATTTTCATGACAAGAAATTGAGGAGAACCAACATGATTTATTATGATTATTTTCACCAAGTGAAAAAATCGTATTGGTTTATAAAACTCTCTTTTCCGTTTTGGTGGACAAGGGGCGTAAGGCCGCCTGAATTTAATGACTCCACGCAGCATAACTTTTGATGTGTGACCTGCATATTAGAATTTGCTAGCTCCAAAAACTAATATCATGATTGTTCAGGGCACAGACATCTAAATAGACGCCGTAACTGTACCTACTTCACGTGTCCAATGTAAACTATAAACGCTTAGATGCCGCTGCTGCGCTTCAGAAAGCGCCCGGCTGTTATCCTAGTTAAACACCAGTCCAAAATGCGAAAAATGCCTAATTGTGCTATTACAAACTGCAAAAACACCACAGCTATGAATAGTTGAATAAACAGGGTCGTTTTCTTACACAGTTAAGTAATTCGCAATAATCGGAATATGCATAATTTATTTTAAAATCAATTATTTTCATTTCGAATGAATTTCGGGAAAACAAATATGCAAACGAGTGTATGCTGCATGATTCGTAACACATTGCTGCTTTTACTTGGTGCGGTACACTTGGGGTCATTTTTTAGCTTACCATCCAGGCGCACGACTTGTTCGTCCCGTCACGTGATATTATAAAAAAAAACAGTATGGCATGAATACCGAACGCGCGATACTTTCGTGTAATGCATTCAGTTTCGTGGTACGGCCGCTTCATCAGTTTTGGTCACATTTTACGGTTAGTGATGTTCATTGATGCAGCATGCAACACAGTTCTCGATTCTGATCGATTTAGGAGACAAAGGGGTGATAATTCATAAGACCTTAGAAATTGTAATAAAAATATTGTATAGTTTGTAGTTGTTTTTTTTTTAGTTTTCCGGAGCAACTTTTTTCAAAACGCGTATTAATAAAAGACTTTATTATATTATTCTGGTATTATTTTACCATATAATATTTCACGGCTCCTTTAATTAACGAATATTTGAAAAAATTGAATTCTATATATGTGCTGCGTTCGCATCTTCGATTTCATCAATCGCTTTAGTGCCGAAGGAGGTTTCCCATCACTAAATAACGTTTGTGACGTCATCGGAGGTACAAAAAAAGTGGCGCGCTTGGTTTCCATACAGATCGCGGTACTTGCGGCGTCTATTTAGATACATATGTGTGTGTTTCAGGGTGTACATTCCGTACACAAGTCATTTGTTTAACTACGAAATATATAGTTTTTCATGATAATTCAAGTACTTTCTGCCTGTGATAGGCAGAGAGATACGGGAGGCCTATACCCCGCAGTGGGTGAAATCAGGCTGTGGATGATGATCATGATACGGGAAAATAAAGACCTTAAAAGTTTAAATTTCTTGAAAATGAATATGGTTGTTATAAGAAATTTTTCTTTGTGACCCTTCGATTACACCGACATTAGATTAACCTTTCATGATCTGAGCTATAGATATTGAGCTTCCCAAGTTTTGGACACCCTGGGGGCGTATTATGAACTTTTAAAAAACCATGCAAGTTCCAGGCAATTCTTTTTACGCCCAAAAACTGACTGGATAAAAATCGTATTACGACATACATATTTTTCGCTGACTTCTTGCTGGTTATTTTGTCTATGACTGGGACTTGACTAGCTCGTGCTTTTTGGCGTGACGTTCAAAAACATGGACGAATATTTACAGGTAAGTTACGGTGTTATATTTGTCACTTAGTTTAAGAGAAAAATAATAGATACGTGTTATTCATGTACGAAAATAAATAAAGACACTATATAATAATAATAATAAAGACACTACATAATAAAATCAATACACTATATTTTTATTTTTGTAAATAGAAGAAAAGTGCAAATTAAGTTTCCGAACGACGACGTCAAACGTCGACAAAATTCCGCGGGTAAATGTTATCTTTGTAGTTTGTTGAAAACATATATCAATAATATTATAAGAATATTTGACTATAAATTAAATTGTAAGAAATTACACTTGGCTTTTGTGAAAAATAAACCTCAGTCTCAACCAATAAATCGGTGGATTTTGTAGGTCTCGACATGCGCGGTTTAAGTTCAAATCGCAATGATTGTGGACCACATCTTTGCTGAGCCGGTATCTTTTCAAAAATTGTCGTGCATCCATTTTAAACGGCTCACTACGATCTCGCAGTTGTTTTCTTTGGTTTCTTTCCACATTATTATCGTGCGAAGCATCACTTTCGAGACACTCAAACATTTCGTACCTACTCATCACACATGATGAAACGATTGCTTAAAATTATAATAATTATTATACAATTATGCACTTAACAATTCAATAAAAGCTACACCAAGACACTGTAAATTTAATGGTTTATTGTCATTGACCTACCAACAAATGGACGTCGGGTCTAATACAAAAAACCACGAAAAAATTGTCCGAAGTTAACCTATACAAACGTAGTGACATGTAACGGAATATAAAAAACTAAAACATTTAATTTAAATTATGCGTCATTGCAGTACTGCCTAATTTTGCTTGCAACAATTTAAGGGCCCCAAAAAACACCATATTTAGCTTCTACTGGAAATTTAACAAAATGCACCATATTTAGCTTCGACTAAAAATTACTTGAACATACGAGTAATGGAGTGGCCTTTATCGTAAATATTAATTAATTTTTATATATATTATTATGTCGAATTTTGTACAAATACACTTAAAAAAATAATAAAGAGTTGGGCAGATACATACATACAAATATTACTACAAATGTGAAAATAAGCGTTTACTATAAGAAATGTACCGATATTCCAACTAAACGTAAACTCAAATATCCGTAATTACGGACCGAAGACCGATTTATAATAAAGCCGTTACGCTTTCGAGTAATTTTGATGTTTTTCACAAAATTAGCTTTTGTTTTGTAATCTTCCTAAAAAAATACATTTGACATTACGAATATTCGAGCTAACGTTATTTCGGGCAAATGTATTTTCTGACTTCAGATAGGTAATCCCAAGTCGTAAAACGACTACAACAATATTTTGTTAGTTATTAAGCTAACGTTTAATAAAAAATCATTTAAAAATAAGATGAAAATCAAAGCTCTATACTCTATAGTTTCTTTGATCTAAATATTTCAATCGCTTGTGGTTCGAACAATTGAAAATGACCAAGAAGTTTATATAAGCTTCTTGAAATTGACGTAATGGGTCTCTTTCCATCTTTCGCGCATGCAATGTGTAGAAAAAGGACAATTAGCTATTTGATTATTATGTGTGCTTGTGTAATTTATATTTACGATTCATTTATATATAAATTTAATAAATGAAATACTATAAAACTGTACAAAATAACACTTTTAAATGATAACTATGATAACACAATATATTTGTTTAGTGAAAATATGAATCAAAATTCTGTTTTTACATTTTATTGCTGTACAATTTTTATAAGTTATTATTATATGGTACTGCATGATTGACAACCGTGCTGTCAGTCGAACAAACGAAGATTGTTGCACGTTTGACGCTCTATATGCGATTTTAACGCCCTATAGGTGCGGACACTTTTCAGCGCGAACCCGACGTCTATTTATTGGTAGGTCAATGTTTATTGTTGTTACTTTTTGACAGGTCAACCGTGAATAAAATGTCAAAGTAACGTTTGTAATACGATATTGCCAGTCAAAGTCCCTCTTTTTGAGACTAATTATGATAGTCTCATATTCTAACCGACGTTGCTTTTCAGTTTAGGCGTCTCTAAAAGTAAAATTGGGGCTGAAAAAGTAAAATTGGGGCTGACAAATTTGACAAAAACTGAAAAGTGGGCTGACTATCTCACTATCTTTACTGATTCCTCTAAACTATGTGAGGAGGGCCCAGTGGGGTCAGCAGTGTGGATCCCCAGGTTTAATATGATTTTGAGTTTCAAACTTCCTCCCGTTAACTCCGTATTTTCTGGTGAAGCCATTGCCCTGCTAGAAGCGGTTTCTTAGGTGTACTCCCACCACCTGAATAAATCCCTTATCTTAATGGACTCACTGAGCTGCATGCAAGACCTGGTTAAGCGCCCTTTCCAAGCTAAAGACAACTTCTCGATTACTTTGCAGGTTAAAGATCTTTTATTTAAATGCCATACGGAAAATATCGAGGTGGTCTTGGCATGGATTCCTGGCCACTGTGGCATAAAAGGTAATGAATGTGCGGATCTCTGTGCAAAAGAAGCCATTATGATAGGGAGTAACGTGATGACCGATGTTTTCCTCGTGACGCTAAAGCCTTTGCCCTCCCACAAATGCGCAATTCCTGGAACTCATGTCGGCAATTTTCCCGCCAAACTGTACGTAAACATTATGGTAAAATCCAACCTGAACTTCCCACTAAGCCTTGGTTCTTCACTAGGAAATCGATTCCGAAAAATATCGCCTCTGCAATTATTCGCCTTCGCTTAGCTCACATATGCACTCCTGTATCTTGGCCAAGATTCGTGTTCGAGACCACTCCCTGTGTGAGTGCGGTCTGGCAGAGGTTACCCTCGAGCACCTGTTTTTTGACTGTAATCGTATCATCACTCTTCTATATGATATCCTCCCCTCTAAAATCCCCCCGTCCCGTCAATATCAACTTCCTCTTAACGTTAGTCCACTCTTCCTTTGTCAATGTTCTGTGTAAGTGTATTAAAAAAATAATTTGTTTCTGTAATAGTCTGTGTATGTACTCTGTTGTTGTAGATTTTCTCCTCATTGAATCTTTTCGGAATTTACCGGTCAATCTTTGAGTTAAAAACGCGTGCGTTCCTCGACTTGCCATTGGCGGGTTTACCGATATGGTATCGATGGGGTTGTAACATTATAAAGTAGAAGTACCGCACATAGGCACTTTTACTTGACATTGGCGAAATTATCGTTTGTTTCGTTGGAGTCATAGCATTTAAAACTTCTTTTAAATGCAGAATAACAAATTTTAAATGAAGAAAAGAAGA